ATATACTTATTTCAAGTACAATCTATACAGTTGAATCAAGTATAAAATACTCGGAGTCAAGGAGTTTTTTCCTTGTGTCACTCGAGGGACGGAACCTCTCACATGAGTCTCGTGTAATCGTCAACGCTGTATTACAAATATCCCAACTAAGTCAACAGTGTAATCCTCGTTTTGCCCCGGACACCTAGCTAGATAAATTAATCCGATGTGACTGAAATTACATAGATCCCAAGCGGATCTGGACGCAAAAAATACACCTGATTCTAGTATATTTTACACTTAACATAAATATGTTACTTTACTTATTTCAAGTATATTTTATTGCCTGTGTCCCTTTCCAATTTAAATTTTGCTTTCATTTTTCCATATTACTGCTTCTCGCTAATCAATTAGCAATGTTTTCCCCAATGGATTAAAAACATTGTGCGAGTCTCATCAATTCATTCTATTATAATTACGGATATTGAACATTTCGGGAATTGCAAAAAAAATTCGAACTTCCCTCTGGAGCTGATCATTTTCGAGAAGAATTTTTTATGACAAAAAATCTATAATTTATCTACAATCAAATCCAATCTCTCTCCTAAACTTATTCGAAAAATCTTTACTACAAATTCAATTAAAAGCCTTCCGGGAAATAATTAATATATCCGTTTTCAAGCGGAAACATATATTTTACACGGAGAGGTCGGAAGACCAATGAAAATTATATACAACCCTAATAAATTTCCAAATGAAATCATCGTCCCATCAGGAAAAAAAACTCCAAAACCCACTATCTGGTATTGAACCTGTAATCTCTTCCTCAAAGTCCCCTCCCTCGTCCGTTATCAGATTCAACCTTAATATTTTCGAATAACCCGCATGAACAATTACGCGTGAATAATTTATCCGTCCAGAATTTATTCACCACCTGAACAACAGTTACTTTTCCCAACTAAATTTACTAACTATCCAAACATCCACATATCTCAAATGCAAATATTTGTATTCCTTCGGTGATACCAAGCAAATTTACTCGGCACAGAAATTCAGTTAATCAATTGACAAATTTTTTTCCTCGCGTTTCCAATCGATTTCTCACGCGAAAAAACTCGACGTTTTGACAGTTCGTCCTGACAGAAAGCCGCCAAGGACACACGAGGAGCTTCTGGATATTCACAAAATTTTTTCAAAAACCTTTCCCGTAATTAGTGGTGGATAAAAAAGAATAATAAAAAAAAACTCACCAGGTGAAGTACGGTGTTGACTACTTCGCGATTAGACACCTGTCCAACCTCGATTAAACCGATCAACACGGCAAATTTTAAGCTGTCGTTCATCGCCATCGCCACCACCTCCTCCGGTCTCTTTATGTCACTGAAAGGTGGACTTTTAATGTCCGCCATTATTAAACACACTTTAATTCACGATTTGCGTATATCAACACTGTTTCTGGTTAAGTAACAACAATTAAATACACCAATGGTTTAACATTTAACGCGTTAGTTTATCCGTCACATGATAATACAACACAAATCGATCTGCCATGTTAGAAAGTGGACACTGTTATGAGGAGCCTGACAGTATGACGGGTGTAAAAGTCCCTAGGACCAATCAGCGGCCGCCGTTTACCCCTAGCGACAATCTTCAACGTACGGGTGCCGCTTCAAACTACTCACCATAAATTCAACATTTTCCATCCTTTCCCTCATCACCAAAATTCCGGGTATTTCTCTTTTCCTTTTCTTCTGATAATACCAAAATTTCCCATTACTCATTTTATTTGCCATAAATTTTTGGCGATTATTCACCACCGCAGATCGGTAACTTACCAACCCTCGATAGATTCAGTCGCATGATTCTCAAGATATTTATCCCCCAGTGGAAAATATATAAAGGATATATATTACGATTGGGGGATTATATATTTTTTTTATGTGAAGGGACGCGTTGTAATTCTTTAAATTTAAGTTTTGCATTTTTTAGTTTATATCGAGCCATTATGAGCCGAAAAATCAGAAGATATTTTTAAATGTCATCTCCGATTGGGCGCTAATGCATCCGCGGTATTGAATCATTTATTTTTTAATAGGTAAGTATTGTTGAGTCCTAGTCGCGCCGATATTAATTAAAATTTAATTAATTCATGAAGAAAAAATTTTTTTGGCGTAACTAAAGAAAAAACATGACGAAATACTTCAGTGGTCAATTCAAAAATTCGATTGTAGTCTTGTTGAGCGTGTTGGAAGATTAAAATAATAGCAAATAATATTTAAATTAATAATACCAAAATTCATATTTACGAAATATTTGAAGTCAATTAGAGCTTAAAATAATAGCTAACTTCGAACTTTTCATTCTTCTTCTAAAAGTCTGGTTTCGGATTTTTCATCAAAGCTGATTTTCTTTATTTATTATTTCCCAATTCCATTCGATCGTGTATAAAAAAATTATGTCAATAAGATTATATCGAATTTTAAACGAATTATAAACGACTATTTGGAAGGGTATTATTAATTAATTAGCTAATACCTATATTTCATGCAACTTAATGTAATAAAAGAGTAATTCTGCACATGCAGATATCCACATATGTTCATGTAAATTATTGATAAACATATCACACTAAAGTTATGAAAATCCTGTCTAGGCTGTTGGATCGTTCGAAGTAAATGTTTATTCATGAAATTTCTGTTGTTTTCCTTTCAGAAATTCAGAGTTGCCTTCAATTTCACAAGGGAGCCCTATCAATAGGAAAATTACTGAATTTCTGCTCAAAATGAATCAATGAAATTAGCCCGGTAACTAATTAAAATCTTTATCATCATCGCTATATACTCTAACAAATTCGAAGCTATGCAGAATAACCATTAAAGAAAACAAAAAAAAATGTGAAATTCAATGCGTAATAAATCATTTAGAATGTTATATATTGTTCTGATTTTTTTCTTAGTTTCGAATTTTCCGCTGAAATCTAGTAAGAATGGTGAAACGTCTAGGGGCCCTAGATATTTAAATCACGAAGCGCCCCAACATACCACTAGTTTATAAAAAATGGCGGCGGTTGACATTGAGCGTGCTAAAGTGAGTATAACATTGTTTACATAATAATCATAAACATACAAAATCCCATTGAACTTTCAGATCTAATTCCCCCTATGATTCCGCTCCATCACACTAGAAATTTGTCTATAATATTCAATTGATAAGTGAACGTGATTTCGTGGGGCGTTGGTTCATATCCTGTCAAGTACAACACCCGGTTTACCATTTATGGTGCTAAATACCGTTTAATTGTAATCTACATACCACTGTCAACGACCCCACGATGATATAATTGATTTAAGATCTTTTTTTGGATTCTAGTTCGACGCAAACATGAGAAATCTCAAGTTAGCTGGTCACGTTGGGTTTGACAGTCTTCCGGATCAGCTGGTGAATAAATCTGTGCAAAATGGATTTGTCTTCAATATTTTATGTATCGGTGAGTCACAACAGATTATGTTACAGTGAAATATGAGCGAAGTATTCTTGTTTGATCATCATGTTTGTGGATTTATTTTTATTCAATTATGAAGGCTTAAATACTTGCAAAAACTTTCAGCAATGTTGTGTCAATTCCTCGAACGAGCCTTCAATTCCATTGAAGTTTTCTGAAATGAAATGCAATTGCAAGTTAATATTAATGGAAATATTGTTATTATTATAGGAGAATTTATGCTCAATTCTGTTTTTTATATTATGAAATCATTCAAAAGTGATATTTGACTGAAATTTTTCGTTAATATACTGCTTATGTATATATACTCTTATATTCTCTTCTCCCATTCAATTACTCAGCTGGAATTCTTTCATACAGCTTTGGCATTCCATTCCTTTTCTTATTGAAAAATTACAAGCACAGTAATCATAAAGACTTCCAGTAGTCAATGTTGGATGGTTTGGGTGAAAAGGAGATAACTTCTCTTTAAACGTGTCTTGATGAGATCGGAGCATAGAATAATAATATGAAAACTTGTGAGCTTACATATTCCGTGGACGGAATTTCAATTCCACTAAAGAAATAATACGGAACTTATTATTTATTTTTCACAGAAGAGATAAAGACAAAATGGTCTTTTTTTATTTTTCAATATACCCTTGACTTCAATAAAATTAATTTATCAATTTAACTGAGGTGACCGTCCTTTTGGACTAGAGCAACAGTCTTTTATATTTTTTTGAATCTCGTTTTATTCGAAATCAAATTGATTAACACTCAATTAAAATTGTTAAGGACGGTTTGATTACATAAATGACTGATTAATTTTTTGGTATTAATGCATATTCAGTTTAATTGGATTTATATGATTCACATATGATTGACAATAATTTATTTTCTTCGAAGGCGAGACTGGGCTGGGAAAATCAACACTCATGGACTCGTTATTCAACACAAGTTTCGAGTCTAATCCAAGTCCCCACAATTTACCAGCTGTCAAGCTGAAATCCCATACCTATGAGCTACAAGAGAGTAATGTAAGACTCAAACTGGCAATTGTTGATACTGTTGGATATGGGGATCAAATTAATAAGGAAGACAGCTTCAAATCAGTGGTTGACTATATTGACGCACAGTTTGAGGCTTATCTGCAGGAAGAGCTGAAGATCAAGAGATCTCTGGGGACCTATCATGACACAAGAATTCACGTTTGCTTATATTTTATTTGTCCTACGGGACACGGGTAAGTTTTTTTAAATTATTTCAAGAGAAATATTTAATTACGCGACGAGGTTAGAAGAAAAAGACTTATTATAAATAAAAAATTATTATATCTAGAGATTATTTCGATTTCTTTTCTTTCAACCCTCGACTATTCGAATGCATTCACATTTGTAATATTTTTCAATTTGTGAAACTTTTGATACAATATTTTGTAAATTTTTTGCAGATTGAAATCGATCGATTTGGTTTGCATGAAAAAAATCGACACCAAAGTGAATATTGTCCCGATTATTGCTAAAGCTGATACAATTTCAAAGTCGGAACTACAAAAATTCAAGGTAAGAATTAAGAAAAGCCGTTTAATACAATTTATACAAAATCACTTCAATGAATCTTTGTTGTTAATAAAGACATTTAAATTCATCTTTATCAATAATTGATATTAATTCAGTACGTCACAACAATACGAACTGTTGTCTCAAGTTCATTTGCAAAAGTTTTGTAAACAAATTTTCCTTGACGCTGCAAATCCCACATCTTCCGAATTTCATATTTGAATGTAATTTCTTTCAATTGAATTTTTAATTTCAGAGTAAAATCATGTCAGAACTCCAAAATAATGGGGTTAACATCTACCAATTTCCTGTGGATGACGACAATGTAGTGGAGATAAATTCGACAATGAATGCTCACGTACCATTTGCAGTGGTCGGAAGCACTGATTTTGTGCGCATTGGAAACAAGATGATGCGCTCACGTCAGTATCCTTGGGGTACAGTTCAAGTGGAAAACGAGACTCACTGCGATTTCGTTAAACTCCGGGAGATGCTGATCAGAACGAACATGGAGGACATGAGGGAGAAAACTCATTGCCGTCATTACGAACTCTATCGTAAGAAGCGACTGGAACAGATGGGATTCAGTGATGTGGACAGTGATAATAAACCTGTGAGCTTCCAACAGACTTGTGAAGCTAAGAGATCTACTCATTTGCAAGAATTGCAGCAGAAAGAGGATGAGATGAGACAAATGTTTGTGGCTAGAGTCAAGGAGAAGGAGGCTGAGTTGAAAGAAGCCGAGAAAGAGGTACACATCATTTGCACCATTTCTTTAAAAGCTCAAATTATTTTGTCAATGATTTCTTACGTTTTTTTTGTATACTACATTATCCGTGCTAATCATTTAAATATTTGAGATAAATTCTTTCTTGATATGAATGATAATACTTCTATCAACTGCATCCTTATTATCTGCACCCTTACTATCCTTATTTTTACTTGTAGAAATTAATAAATACTATTTACAATTTTTTAGCTCCACAATAAATTCGATAAACTCAAAAAGGACCATATGGAGGAAAAAAAGAAATTGGAAGAAAGCCGTAAGAAGTTGGAAGATGATATAGTTGAGTTCAACCGTCGAAAAACTCAAGTTGCTCAACAGTCTCAGCATCACATGTTGACTCTTGGTAAAAGCAAGAAAAAATAATTTGCTGAACTCATTACCAATGACAGAACGAATTTGTACGTTCTTCCAACGTTTTTGTATAAAACGAGATGATTTTAACTATTTAAATAGTCTCAAATGTGAGCATTCATTAAATATCTCCAGAATTTGAAGGACATAATCAAATTTTCTAAAATGGTTTTTGCATTTCTCATTCTTATTTCAAAGAAACCTTTTTTGGTTCTCGTATGTTATTTGGATTTTGAGATATTTAAGCAATTATTGAAGGACAGTTGATCGATCTCGTTTTATTACTCAACTATCGATTCGAATTCGCTAATTTATAATGAAGAAAAATTAGTATTTTTCTTTCTAGTATTTTTTATCGCCTCGCATTGCGAAAAGACTAGCGGCTCCGATCGCAGCATTTAATCAAGACAATTATCTTCATACAACATTACGCATTATGTATGATTTAAGACATCTTCAATCAATTACACGTGCCATTAATCGGTATACAGTCCTTTATTTTAGTGATAAACACACCTCATGAACCAAATCGACATACATTAATAAACAAATGAAGAATAATTTAGTTTAAGTTTCTAAGTGCTACCACATCAAATTGTACGAGAAGATATAGGTAAAATAAAGGGATCTTTCATAAAACACCCACAATTATTGCAATTAAACATTTTATTACTCAACAAAAGATAACAATTAAAGTTAAACTTAATCCAACTGTTAAGTTAAATCGTAAATATTCAGTGAAAGAAAAACTAATTCCGTTATTTACAAGTTACGAAACTTGCAATGCCATTATGTTTTAATCACAAAAAAACGCATTTTTCTCATCTTCTATTGTGACTAACTCAAATACTGCCAACAAGTTCCCCTAGAATTATTATAATCTACGGAGCGTTATAATTAATACAAAAAAAAAATTTCTTCATCTCGGTACAACCGATTATCCCCATGTTCCAGACAAACAGGTACCTCTCACTTAGAAAATTTTCATTTCTATCAACTCAAATGGTACAAATTAACGTACTTAGATTATGTTATGGCGAAACTTCCGATTCTCAGGACGAAAAAAAAACAGTCTTTACTAAAAAAAAAAAAAAAAAAAGAATAGAATTATATTAGATTCAGTAGTGAAGGTGCGAAGTCTGACTGAGGAATTCTCAAAGCAAACACTAAAGGCTTACTGTATTAAATTATTTTCAGTTACAAAATTTGATTGTGAAACTTTTCTTCATTACTGAATTTACGATGGATTTCTCATAAAAATGTCCTGGAATCGATGGAAAAAAAATAATAAAATTATCAATTGGATCGGTTTCTACTACAGTTCCACAATGATTTCAGATGCAGCCAATGACGCATGTAATAATTAAAAATAGAAAAAGATGGAGAAATTAAACAAGAAATTTTTGTCAATCATTCGAACAATAAATGGCTCTGGAAAAAAATCCAGAGGAAATTTTAATCGAGAATTCTGCTGAGAAAATCATTATCCGAAATAATCACCGTCAAAAAATCGTATTTGACGTGATAAATTCCGTCAATTCACCAGATAATTCAATTTTTCGGAGAAAATTGTAATATTAAATGGTAAATAAGCCTCAACGTGCTGACACAACTCGTTTCGTACTCCTTTGCTTTGGTATGCCCTTACAAAACGTTCCCTTGCATTTCTGAAAAATTCAATGATTATACAACTATTTCCACTAAATTTTCCCAAACTCCTGATTTCCATCGAATTACAATTCACTATTCTAATCGTGTATATAAAAATACAAAAGGTATTATTAAGTATTCCAATACTGAGCCAATATTTGTTTTGTGGTTTGAGGCAATAGTGTGATTAACTCCACTAAACTTTACTTGCGTGCTGATAAGTGCAAAAGATTTTATCGTGATTGAGTTTACAGAGAAATTGACAATAACCATCCCCTCTTCATACCATATCGCTTAAATATATGGTAACAGAGTGATGATTCTAAAGTGCAATTATTAATTACCATGACCTTGTGGCTGCTATCGTTTTCAACTGCTTTAGACAAACCCAATTGTCTTTCTATGCTATAACGAGGGCCAAGTCGAACATTTAATGTCAATTTCCAAAATTACAAACAATTTTCTGTCAGAATAATAGAGAAATGATAACATGCGTTGACAAATTATTTATCACTTATTTCAGAGACATCTTGTCAAGAATAATCACCTGAAAGAAATTTACAAATCAGTCAATTGAATTTTACGGGTCATATTCTATCACTCCAAATCCTATTATTCTTCATGAATTTCTCAACGTCAGAACAAAATTTTGATAATTATCATACTTAATGATAAAACTCCTTGACCCTCGCATAAATACCTTCAATAAAGTGCATTAAATTCGGTAATTCCGTGAAGAATGCTAAGAATACTTGATTGAATCTTAAACGTCATATAAGACACGTGAGCATTGATAAGTAATGAATTTTTTCCAAAATATCTGTCTCGTAAAAACGTTAGACGTTGTATTCTAAATTCTCGCATTCAACAGAGATATAGTGCTGAATGGACCATGATCAACCTGTAGCTATGAAAAAATAGTTTACAGTCTAGTGTAACATTAATACCAATGAGATAGATCGTTCACAAATACGTGTTTCTAAACTGGAAATATAAGTTTTAGTGAACGCTGTGAATTTGAACCTTGATTATTATTGCTGTTTATTAACGTTAATTTCCCACCCTGAGGCACTGTGCATTGATTATTACGTGGATGGGATGACTTGAGTGATTAGTTCAACGGCCAGATACTGGCTCGGATGGTGGACTCCTGTACTTGGCGCGTATGTGCAGGAAGCTTGGGTGTTTGATGCCATTTTGTGGTGGTGGTGTACTCTCACGACTGAGGACCCTCACCTGACATGGATCGTGCCTCGACAAGAAGTGCTCCAGGGTGTCCCAGCCACCACCAACTCTCACCATCATGTGTCGTCCCTTCAGCAGCTGTGAACAAGTACCGAGGGAACTTCAGTTATTCACCCAATTACGCTATTCCATTTTATTTATTCTCAATGGAAGTATTCGAATCAGTGCAATACAATTTTTTTCTATTTTCCGTTTTATGTCGATCCATTAATCCGCGTAATTAAGTCATTTTTGTCAGGTGTCAGTATTAGCGAGCCCTAGTCGGCGGTATTAATGAAAATTGAATTAACTTATTAATTTTTGTCGATTTTTTAGTGAATGAATGAATGTTTTATTTCTACTGTATAATTTTACACCTTTTGCAAATCGATTTTTTAGTTTTTTCTGAAATAATTTTTTTACGATAACTGAAAAAAATGCTTCGGAATAATTCAGTGATGTTTTGAAACATTTATTTCCATTTCTTGTTGAACGAGTTGGAGGATGAGAATAATAACAATAGCTGTGGCAGCGATAAATAAGATTGCCCAGAATTGGGGCTTTAGAAATATTTGAATTCTGGGCGTGTCGCGGGATATTCTACGTCTATGAAATTCGATTAGAGCTGCCAATGATAGTTTCCATGCTACACTATTGAAAGTGAGAGTAATCACTACAGTGATTTTGGGGATAGAAAAGGGTATAATTGGATTCGTAGACTAATAAATAATCAATTTTATTCGTCGCTTTTTTACTAAGCAGATTTACTCACAAAGCTATTAACGTAACATTTTAACTGTCCATTAACTCATCCGTCCACGGTTTATCTTGACATAATTTTTCAACCAACTCCTGTTAACGTCGAATTTTTCATTGACTTTATAAAAGTCAGATCCCGGAATTTTTCGTCCGTTCTGAATTTCTTAATCTATTGTTCCACATTCATTCGACTATGAAGAAAATATTTAAATCCGATTTTATGGATATTCCAAGATGACTGAAAATTAGTATTCGAAAGCGTATTGCTAATTTAATTTGGGCAAAGATAACAAGCCTGTATGAAATAGAAGAACATTTGTTTCTTTTTATTTCACGAACCAACGACATTCGAAAAAATGGCAATGACGCAAATTATTTCCCTTTAAAAATGAAGAAATCTCCGAAACCATGAATCTTTTTTCCGGCTTATATCAATGTTAAAAAAAACGTGTTGAATATTTTTTAACTAGCGGTTACATCGAGTGTTTCGAAAATAATTAATAAAACAACAATCTTCGTAACATTATGCATCTAGAATTTCTGAGGAGCCATAAATCAGTGAATAAATTTGTACAATATCCTACCATCAAGGAGCCCATATAAAGAGCATCATGACCTCACAATATATTTTCGACGAGTGAAGAGATACACGTGTTGTTCAACAGATTTTCATGTATCGTAATTCATCAAGATGAGAGAATGGTCAATAAAACGGTAATTAGTGGATACTTATTGGGAATGTATTTGACAAATATGGAAAAACTGAGTGGACGAGGAAAAAAAATGAGAGAGAACTCACCCTAATAAAGACATTGCGACCTGCAATGTGATAGCGTCCTTCTCCAACTTTTCGCACTTTCAATCTCGAGCATTTCTCATGCGAACATTGGCAAAGTCTCTGAACTTGTTCGGCTACACGTCGCACCTGAAATTATCGTAAATTCTGACCTTCAATCATGTTGATTTTTCAGATTGAATTATTGCAGTTCCAAAGTGATAGAACACTATTGCTCCAGTTAAAATTGACACATGATAAGTAGTAGCCCATCGAAAAGACAAGGAACAATAATATTATTGGTAAAAACAACACAAATAACAACCCACACTGTGAAAAAATTTTGTGTGAACTTCCGGGGACAGCAGTTGGTGTCGATTCAACACTAAATGCTAATTTTCTTTTTACTTTGCATGCTCAAATAACCCGAACAAAAAGAATAGAGCGTTTGTTATGATATCATAAGAATGTATTACTCTGTATAATTTTTGTTTTCTACTTTGTATCAAATAAGGAAGAGACTAAACTGTAGAAACCCCAAAAGAGTATACATGTAAAAATAAATATGTAAGAATATAACGTAGAAGAAAAAATAGAGTTTAGAAAATTACCATATAAAAATGACATAAAATACCAAAGGCACAAGCCAAAATAGCAAAAGTGACAATAACACTTGGCACATAAAAGCTATAACGATAGCAAAATTTCTGGGAAAATTGATTGGAAGATATCCACATTGTCATACAATTTCGATCAATCCATCAATGGATTGTATGAAATCATTTTCTTTTTTTTTCAATCTTTTCGATTGCTTTTTCCGCCTTTGATTATATTTATTTTCGTATTTTTTTCTGATATTTATTTATTTTATTCCAATTGATTAGCATGTCCTTTTGGCTCTTATTTTTTTTGTAAGTAGTAGTAGAATATTTTTATAACTTTACCGGTTCACTCCTGAACTATTCATTGACATTTAATAATAATAATCTCTGCCCAAATGTTAATTGCATTTTTCCCACAATTCATAGGAAATATATTCATTTCCATATTTTAATAGATGATTAGGGTCAATAAACGAGTGAGAATTTATTAATGGCGGAGAATAAAATGAAAATCAGAGGAAAAGCTCATGAATTATGTATTGGTTTCAAGAGATACCTTTCGATCGAGTTCGGTAACTGGTCCAACGTGCTCTGGGGGTTCGGCGGGTGATGGTGAACTTACAGGTGATACCTCATCGGGATCCTCAGCACTTCCACGTGACCAGTCATCCTCTGTCGTGTCACTGGGTACACCATCGCTTCCTGTGGGTCCATTGTCACTTACAGATCTACGCATATCTGTCTCGATAGGCGTGGTCGGAGAAGCGTCGAGCCATCTTGATGCAGTTACTTCTGATGCCGAACTGTTATTCGAGACAAAAGAATTTCGATTGAGACACCGATTATTGTCTCGAGATAGACAGAACTATGGTCTGTTACGACGGTGTCTTAATTGACGCTATTTTTATCTTCATGTAGAAATGTTTTCTACTTCACGTGCAAAACATCTTTTCTACTGTCTCGAACAAGTAGTTTGATAGAAACAATATGGGTTTTCGGTATTTTTAATTCTTCAATTGAAGGACTCTAATTAATGCTCCCTGCACTGAGAAAAATTTCTTGAAATTTCAGTCAATTCGGTCAGATTCCAAATTTCAATTGAAAACGGTCACTAAATTTCTTATTTATCTTGAAAATTGGGTCTCAATTTTTAATGATCATTGATTCTTCTACTGGTAATTATTGCTTCAATTTGGACTAGCATGCCAAGGATCCGGGTTCGATCCCGGGCACCGGCGGTTAAAAATATATAGCGCTCTGATCTCACGGTTTCACTGCCGAGGGGTAGTCCTGTCAAAAGGACGACTGTACCAGGGCAGGTTTTTCCGTCAGATAAGGTTTTCCCTCCCTTTCAGCAAATACGGTACAGGGGGTTGGGGGGTGGGAAGGGAACAAATCGTAAAAACCCGAAAGGGTATACGAGTGAAAAAAAAAAAAAATATTGCTTCAATTTTGAAGCTTTCACCAAAATCAGAATTACTAGAAAACATGAAAAATTAAATGATTTGTCAATAAAGAATTCTACAGAACATCCATGTCTAATTTTCGGACAGAGCAATAAAATCTCATGAGAGAAATGAACATTACATTCCAATTATTTTTCAAAAACTTTTTTCATCACAGAATTCACCGAATAGTTCCAATTTTTTTATCCAAATATGAATATTTAGTACCTTATTACCCCACATTTTTAATGAATTGAGCATTTAAAAGTATATATACCCAAGATTTCTTGATTCATCAATCCTGATCGAATAATTAAATCCGGATTGAAAATTCATTCCATTCCACCGAAGAAAACCGTAAGGAGATGAAAGGAGAAATATTCAAGAATTTAAAGCGGTCAATTACCAGGGCTATCACCATAAACTTCATCTTTCCTAAAATCGGACTAATAAAATGATTAAAAAAATAATTTCCCAGAAAAATAATGAAAGCGTGCTCCTATACCGAAGAATGCATTCCCACATAAATCTGTCCTGGCGATTTCTCCAAAATGCACGCACCAGTGAGATAATCTTCTAATTGAGGACATTTCCTTCTCATAATTCCCCATCTGTCCAAAATATCATGTGAGAATGATTAATTTATTATTCAAACAAACCTGCTATGCTTCATAATCTCTTTTGAAGGTCTTGGGGATGGCGTGGGCGAGGGAGGTTGAAATTGCCATGATACAAGACTGCTGTGAGATATACCACTGTCAGACATGCAGTGTAGATCCCTTTCCTGTTCAGCTGCGATTTCCCGTTCAAGCTGAACGAGTCCAGGTGGTTCCAAGGAATACTTTGAGGCTAATCGGGCGACTTCCAGTAGACACAGCACCACATTACGTGGCTGTCCATGGAGCACTGTAAATATTTCATTAATTAAACATTAAATTATTGTCATTCCACTGCTAATCGAATATCTAGATCTCACAGAGTTACAAGACTAGAGATTTCTCAAAATTTCAGGCGCAAACTCATTTTATCTGAAATTAATTGTACCAACTTGCATTTAATTATAATTATAATCACTCACTGAATCATTCATTCGTCTCATTCATCTTCAAAATTCAAGAACATGGAGTTTTTTGTTAAGTTGTGATTGATTCTTTAATGTAAGATAAAATCTTCAGGCTGGTTGTGGATTTCTCGAAATTTCAGGCGAAAACTCATTTTATATGAAATTAATTGTACCAACTTGCATTTAATTACAATTATAATCGCTCACTGAACCATTCATTCGTCTCATTCATCTTCAAAATTCAAGAACATGGAGTTTTTTGTTAAGTTGTGATTGATTCTTTAATGTAAGATAAAATCTTCAGGCTGGTTGTGGAAATTCAAAGTGGATTACTATTGTTCAGTTCCATATGAAGTTGATAATTGGTAATTACTAGAAGAGTGTCGAACAATTAACTGAATCGTCAATGAAAAATTCCAACGAAATTTCCGTCACTTTGTGGTTGTTAAAAATTTCAAGTGTAATAACGATTTCCCACAGTGTATCATGCACTGAGAGGTGACAGCTCGGGTTTGAATTACCACCAGTGACATTTGAACTCAATCAGACGAATTGTCGAGACCCAACGACACAAAATTACTACTTTTATTAAAGGGCTTATTGAATGATTGGATGAATCCAGTCGGAGAACAAAAGTCTGCATGAAAATCGCAGATTATCTACCAATTATTATTGATATATTATAATATATAATCCATAAATAATAATTATAACTAATTTATTATTAATTATATATGGTAATAAAATAAAAATATAGTAGCAAATAATTAAGGAATTATTGTCGATATCTTTCCATTTTCAAATTTTTTAGTCATACATTTATTTTTAAAATCGGTTCGGTCAGGTTTTGCGAATTCTTGCAAAAGTTTACTGACTACCTAAGAAAATTTCCCCCCGGGCGATAAAGCTTACAAGCGGTATATTTTTTCACGTCAATTTTATCAACTGAAATTCATTCAAAACTTTCAAAATTACAAGATATCAGTAATAATTCCGTAAGATTGTCAAATATCTCTCGCGGATGACAGAATGACTATCTCACAGAATATGCGCCTTGTTAAAAATCATTTAATCATTATCAATTCGATTTTTCCATTGTTTAAGGCCCTAATAAATTCAGTATAAAACACATCGTTGAGTCACTGCCAATTCCAAAAGAATTTTAAGCCTTTTCGATAATCCTTTGTATATTATTATTACCGATTTTTTGCCTTATTCACATGTTTATTTTATTTTTGGATCATCCCACGGGATAGTCACTCGACTAATGGCTAAATATTTAATTTTCCCATTTATCTTCGTTGAAACATATAAAATTGTTAAAAAATAAGAATGAAACAATTTTTCATGGCTTTCCGTTTGACCGTAGCCCCTCCGGGGAAATCTCACTAAAGTCATTCTTTGAAGCTTCAATGTTAACTGAAAGGAACTTTAAAGGCTGTCAAAGCCTTTTGACATGTTTCTCAATCCATCAGCTTTCTAGGTTGCAAAACATCTCGTATACATTATTAATCATTACTTCTTTTCCCAATCGTGCGAAAAATTGACTTGTCATCAAATAGAAACTTTCTGATGATTTTATTCTTTGAGAATCCGAAAGTAGATTCACTTTCTAATTATTAGCACTCATTGACCCAGAAATCTTGGGATAAAAAATGAACTTTATGTGAGTACACAGTCTTGGTTAATCTTTCAGTTGGAGTTGACATTTTACGATGACAAAAATTCATCTTACATGTTACAGTACGTTAATATTATTATTTAAGGGAACATTTTTCAGAGCTGACATTGTGAGAAGAGCGTGGACGAATGTGTGAGCATTTAATTTTTAGTTATACACCTGTAAATGAATAGAAACTTTTGTCCCTGTCGAGAAAGTTTCAAAACTATAGAATTTCTGGGAACTCTAGGAGTCAATCCCTCGGAGGAATTCGAAACGTGTAGATGTGTCTTTCGATGAAGCAATTTCAAATAAAAAAAAGAAAAGCTTCGACTCAACCCAATTGATTTTTATTAAAAAATGATCAATTTAAAATACTTTCCAACAATTATTAACTGTGGGAATTGAGAGAATTTTCGAGAGGCTTTACTTACCAAGATCGTCGCTCTCGAACAGCAAATTTTCGTGTACCCCAAGGCGTCTGCAGAATTGTATAAAATTCTCCATATTATCTCTGGAGAAGAAGCTGCGTCTGGCCGCATTCTCCCAGCATCTTCCACGTATTACGGGGACCGGCTGATGACACCATAAAACATAAAACAAACACCGACCAATTAAATCCACTAATTTAACTCCCAGTCTCTCGATATTTTGAGTTTTAAAAGCAACAAGTTGATCGCGTGCAGTTGTCTCGATGCCCAATTAACACGAAAATCATAGCTAGTGAAATTATCACTATTTTAATGAACCCAAGAAGCCAACTAATTACCTACTCAACTTATTTGAAGAGTGAAAGTACACGACCGATTGAAGAATTTTACTTCAAAAAAATCGTGACGTTAAGAAAGAATAAATTAATTAATGAATGTGCGCAATGATTGATCAGTAATTTAATTTGCCATTAGATAGAACTCCAGTTAGAAGAAAACTCAGTGGGTCAGGAAGAAAAAGCTTATTGTTTATTGGCTAATACGGAGAGCGTCATTGTTTTCGTGTGTTATAATAAATTAATTCCAAATTGACTTTTAGAAATTTGAAGAACGAATGTATCTGATTAATTGACACTTCATAATTGAAAAAAGAACACAATGAATGAGCGAATTCAGTTTTTGATAATTAAAATCTGTAATTTAAATTAAATATAACGAAAATAATAGTTTAATGATTTCATAAATTAAATATGTCGGGCGTTGTTTCGATTTTATAGTTTATAAAGATTAATTTTTAATTACAGTTGGTTTCACTGGATTATTGAGAGGGAAATTCTCCCCGTTAATTAATTTAAGGATATGGAATGAAATTTTTAATGACTTACCCCCTTGGCACGACCTGCATCGATAGCACCTCGTGCTTTTTCCTGGATGACACGAGCCAGACGACAGACTATTACGCCATTATCCAAGACATCGAAGAAATTCTCACCATTTATGTGATCTACATCTGGAAGATAACGAATAATTACCACTCAATGTAAACTTTTATCGTTGCAAAAACGTACTTCAACTAATCGTAGGTACGAGAGAGTTTAGACTCTTATGCAAGTGATCGTCACGACTCTATGATTACTCTCATTATTGTTATTAGATTGAAAATAAAAATAAAATAGTTGTTATTGGCGGGGGGTAATGACCCCGGATGTCACTCCTCTGGTTAGACAACTTCAATGAACAGTGAGCATTGTCGTCGTGACAATGAGGGCCCGCCTTTGTCGATGAGAGTAAACTCTGGTTATAAGAGAGATCTTTTCGGATGTGTTATCGGTTCACTGAGCCGCTTCGTAGAAATTTTAAGTGATCAATCGCGAGAGACAGCCTATCGATAATTGATAAATCCATCAATGAAGTCATTCAGGAGATGATACTAATTTTGAAAATATGAAAAAATGCAATTACTTTTGTGTGAAACCTGGATTCCTTATAAATCCGCTATTTTTCAGGCATGTCCCGCTTTTCACTGAATTTAATACACGATTGGGAAAATGACACTTGAAATTTATTTTAAATCCCGATGACTGAAAATGAAGGAAAAAATTTCAATAATAGATTCATTTCAATAAATTGAATGTGTAACAGTACTTTTTCATTTAAATTCTTCAGGAAAATGTTAATTTCATATGGTGAAGAATAATAAATAATAATAATAACCATAATAACCATAATAATAATAATAATATTAATAATAAATTTCAATTGAACCTAAACGAGATGTATACAAAAATAAGGAAAAAATTTCAAGTATAATTTATATATATATTTATTATATCAATATAATTTACACATTCATAATCTTCCAGTTTTACATATTATTGTACTTCACTCAAATATTCACTTCAGAGGATTTAAAAAAGGAGTCAATGTGTAACAGCACTTTTTGATTTAAATTCTTGAGGAAAATGTTAATATGGGGCATGTCATATGGGGTATGATTCGGAGGGTATGATTCGATATTAAAACCGAATGGAAAATTAGGAACTAGGTTAATTCCGATACTCCTGTGGCTCCTGTGCAATGGGGAATGGTAATGAGAATGCATTCTGATTCTCGTGACTCAGCAGAATCCATCAAACAATGGGGTTGCTCTCGGCAGCAACTCCGGGGTCGAGTGCAAAATCATCGAAGCTCATCACGTGTCTTCCAAAGGAACTGGAATAAAGCATATCGGCGAAAAACAAAGAGTCGCGTCCCAACAATCAAAACACGACTAAAAAGAACTATCAATGTTTGTACATTGTAATTGGCCCGCGTTGTCCTTTACGATTCACGATTGTATGACAATAGCAAGTTACAGTGCACAACCTCGAGATGCTTCTTGATTCTCTGAATCTCTTGAATCCTGTTACCATTAGAAGATCGGTAGGAACTTGAAAACATTTATCAAATCAAATAACTATTCCGGTAAAATACACTCTCACCTCAAAATTATTTTTTCAGTAAAATACGGGAGCTAGACTTCCTAGTCAATACATTTCTCACCTTCGTAAATCCGTACTTTTTTAAACAACTTAACTAAAAAAATTGTTTTGATAATCGATCCCTTCTTGACTTTCGTGAAAAAAAAATTAAATCGATTGATCATTTTGTGTTCGAGTGCTAGTAACAAAAAGTTTATAAATTGACATAATCATGAACAGTATAAAAAATATATAATTGTATTTTAGATATCTATGAACAATGCAGTCAATCAAGTGAGATTATATATTGTTAAAAGACTGCCCTTTAATTCTGGCCGTTTTACAACGCATTAACTTTTTGTGGAGACTGTCAAGCGATACAATCTTAAGTTTCAAATGGGACTTGGGCCCATGCGTTCGTATGCATAAGCACCTAAAGGAAGACCCAGAAATGTGCGGCATACTAGTAGAATAAACAAATAAATAAATAATAAATAATGAATTGTTGGAAAATTACACTTGACATGTCACAATTCTTCATTGGCAAATCATTTAATTTCTTGGATATCCTGGTGATTCCCAATTTTCCGGTTGACATGGCATTGAAAAATTAAAACAATTATTTCCCTAAGTTATCAATCTATTGGAAATTCAATTGAATTTTTTAATCCATTCAAAGTGCTGCAGTCGATTAATATATAATTAATTTAAAAAAATATAATTTATTAAAAATAATAATTTATTTATTTATTTATTTACTATTGAATGATTACACTTAGATCTCAGCATTCGATTAAATATTTACATATTCCTTTTATATATCAATATAATATCAATATTCTTTAGATATTGAATAATAGATTATTAGTTAAGATGAAAAACTCAATTTCCTGGAATTTTCTTAGTTGAAATAGAATTCAAAGTCATATAATTGAAAATTCAAATGACTTTGTGACTGATATATAAATATTAATAAATGTTTAACAGTATCCCAATAGTTGTACTTTCAATGAAAGTACAAAAGGCAAAAGCAGATAGTCGAAAGATTCAAGGCGTGGTTAAATAACAACACTTGGAATAAATTATTCATGCAGACCTGTGGTTAATGAAAATGAGTTGGTGAATTGAAATTACGGTGGAAATGTTTTGGAATGATCTCGGTCACCCGGAACTCGAAGACATCTGCAATGAGATAGTGTACATTACGGTTTGTACACTTTCGAGTATATTACTGGTGATCATGGGTGAGTCGAGAGGTAGTTTTTAAAGTCACTCAAGTGGATAACACCATGTTGGGAGGAATTCCCAGACGCACTTCAGTATTAATTTGTCAACTTGTTGATCGCGAAAAAATTTAATTTAATTTACTCTGTTCGGAAATACAAGGAATTCTCAATGAGCTTTTTTCCCAAGTCCAAGACCAAGTCTTTCTTTTCCCGCAAGAAAGATCCTGCGTCTTCCAAACTCTTTCTTCTGGTTTTCTTTTTCATTGTTAGAAATTTTTCTAGCTCATATATAATTACCACGTGTTGATTTTCAAGCGTGTGATTTTTCATTTAAATTTCAAACATTAGTTGACATCAAATTCCTTAATTAATTTACGTTAGTAAAATTTAAACAAATTACTTGATATTGATTATTATTTAAATAAGTTTTGGAAAGCATAATTTATTGTCTCTAATATTTAATTCCGCCGATATTTTGTTGGATCGAAAAATAATCGAAACCGAAATAAGAAAAAAATGAAATTAAACAATTTTCAATAATTTCATGATCGTACAGTGTCACAGAATATCTCCGAAGTTAATTAATTAATTAAAAAATTCTGTTAAGCTATCATAACAATTAGTAGTTGTTAAACTTACGATTAAAAACTCAAATTGTTAATAAAATAGTTAAATAAATCTAATAGTAAACGCGTTTTGTCGTAGTCGACACATGAATTTTTCCCACTTCAATTAAAAATTATGATTACCTGCCACTCTTCGTGCTCAAGCGTGGAGATATTATCTTGTGAGTTCTATCATTGAAGACACATGAAGAAGTCGACTAATTGCCAAGCACGCGAATTACTTCCACATTTAATAGAAACTAAGAAAAAAAACTTTTTCGTTTTCCCTTACCCCGGATATTTTTTTATTTTATATTGTTTGACTGAAGGAGTTTATTTCCGATGTTGGAGCTGTGCCAAATACAGCGCAGTCACGTGAGAAATGGTCATGAGAAACCTACAATGCATGAGGGCCCTCGAGAAAAATTACCCGAGTACTGGATTTTCTGAAAAAGGGCCCAGTAGAGTTTCAGCCATGTTGGCATTTGTAACAAAGAGAAAATTCCTTGAGCAGTGACATGAGGCGTCTCGTTACTCCAGTCATTGCACACACGTGGTACAGAGGACATCGATAATCGATCACCATCTCAGACTATAGCGGCACTGCGCATGAATGGAGACGTGGAAAAATATATCTGGTTTGTCTGCAAATCTTATAAATTGACAAGCTAACTTTGTAAAGCTCAGGAATTGAAACAGAGACAGATATTAAATGGAGAAAGATCCATTCCGGTGTTCTATGTGTGCTACAGTGCTGGATTCATTTGTTAACTAAAGAAATTCCCGAAAAAAAATAAATAAATTCCCTTTCTTTTTCTTGCCAATGGAAAAATACATTGACCAAAAACATTCTTTGATGACAATTTTTACATCGGTCCAAAAAAGTCACGAAACTGGTCGTTTGTTTCGAAAATTTAAGAAAATTCGGTTTTTCATTTTTAATGATAATTGATTCTCTAATTAAATTGAATGAAAGCTCAAGAATTCAATATCAAATTCTATTGAATTCTCAATAACAAGAAGATTCAGGGATATTATTACCTGAATTTTCCATGAACATAAGAGTACACGTTAAATAATCCGTTTGCAAAACGTAAAAACAAATTACCCGCGCCCGTGATCCGCCTTAAATTTCGCACAATATCTTCCAATAGTTTAGATATTTCGCGAGCTAAAAATTGGAAACAGTAGAATTTTCTCTGGACCCTCTGAATAATCTACATGTAATGTAAATAGCAATTTCCTCCGTAACTAGAACGCGGAAAGTACCAAAACTGGAACGTCTCCACAGATTAGTCATCCGATTGAATTGGAATGATTTATTCTCCAGTACAGATATACTCTGACAAGTTCAATATTTGGATTAAACATAAATAAAGCCAATAAGCATGAAGGATAAAGGAAATAAGTCACGGTTTATCGATAATCCATGACATCGATACTCTTGGGGTCACAACGAAAGGAAGACGGAGCGCAAAGGGTCGTGCCCATGGTCTCTGGCTTTGCATACAAACTTGGTATGTAATGTCAATTTATGCGTAATATAGTAATTCCACTATGAGGGGCACAGTACGTGGTGATGACGAGTGAAGGAAACGAACCAGGGTGGGCCGGACTGACATCCGGTGAGTCAGAGGACCGAGTCGGTGCATTGTGAAGGGACGCATGAGGACGAGGCGTAGGATTTCCGTGTCGCATCAAAACCTCACTTGAATTACC